TGGTAGTACAAGTTCGACAAAGTATCGAACAATGGCCCTCTCAATCTTCGTCATATCCCGGTCTGCCGACAAAGCTGCCGAATCGGAGGCCAAGTCCACTCGACTCGGTCGATCGATCAAACGAGCAGAAAGCAACGAAACTTCGCTCATCAGCACGGGGTAAACTTGAAGCCAAGGCGTGACAAGTGGACGGCCCACTTTCGCCACGTTGGCTCGACGTTCCCTAATTAACGCGCGGGGCCTAATTATAGAATCACAAACGGCTGTTCGACGTCGCCTGCCAATAATCGGAAACCGGGAATCAACCTGATTCAGCGGACGCCGGGAATCACCTTCAGCGTGGCGGACAAAGGCGTCCGAGGATGACAGTATCGCAGCCTTGACCCAAAAGCTCGCGCTTCCCAGCCCAATTCCTGGGCTTAATGGTTATTTCGTTTGGAAACTTTGTCGCCGAAAACAGCCAGAATCTCTGCCTTCGATCAACTAACAGTCGAGTGAATCCTGACTGCTTCCGTTTCTATTACCAATTACGTTTTATGACTCCGGAACTTGGCCATCCTTCGTACCCCAGTATCCGACTGAAATTCTGTTTACTACTGGAGATGGGTGTAATTCATTGGCAGAGCTCCGGGTCATCGGGAGCCGAATTATATCTTAATAATCATTTCCCTCTGAATAATATTTAATGGGACACAGTTTGAGCTTTCCTAGTCTTAATTAGCCCTAGTTTCGAATTAGTAACTTAGCTGTATCTAGGATATTTTATAAGTGGAAGGTACGTAGGATATATATTCATCGGAGATTATTTTCGACGCACCCTGTATGTGACATCGGTTAGAGTGGGCGTCCATTTGTCTTGCAGTTGCCGCATGAAAACAAGCGGCGACTGAGAGTCGCCTCTAGAGCGCAAGGGTTAAATCTTTAATCCGGCTAGCGAAGGGATGAAAGAAAAATCGAAGCGTCTTGCTCGATACCCTATATCCGGCAAGCTATTACCTTACACGAAAAAATCCTTTTACTTACACGCGAGCACGATAGCGGTGCAGCTCGGAGCTTCAAATCCCAGAGGACCGAGCGCGAATCACAGAACGTCTACGGTCTCGTGCTCCTTGAACAACCACCCCTGCGATCTAAATCTCCGCGTAAAACGAGACTCCGGCGCTCCGAGAGAGTACGTGCCGCATTTTCGCCGGGTTCTGGCAAATGTCAAAGTTCAGTACACACCGGTTTAGCTGATCGATATTGCTCGGTGTACATTCGGCTGCCGCTGGAGCGCTTTGATACCCGATTGTCTTTCCGTTGCTGCGAGACGGGCGCATGGACATCGTTTGACCTTCGACAGGGATCTTCCACGGGATTTTCATCGGTCGCGAGGATACCTCGCCACGCCCAAAGCACGCGTAGGCCGAAGCAAGCCGGGCCGAAAGGGTAAAGGGCGCGTGCAGCCTGGAATTCCAGCGACCGCCGCCAGGAAATCAATTACGGGCCTTTAAATCCCACGTCGACCGGCTTCCTATCGATCCCCGCCACCCACGCAAATATCCTCCACCGCCCTGCATCTGCTTATGAAAATCCCGCCACCGAGCTATTATCGAGCCGGAGTATCAACCGACCCGCTGCGACCGTTTTTATCTCGCTTCCGTAAAATGCAGCCGAGGCTACACGGCACATTATAGTAATAGGGGCTGAATCTTGGTTAGGGGAAAATGCAGCTGTTGTTTCGCCGCTTTAAGAAGGGGGATGTTAAGCGTTTTAACGCGGTGCGACCAGTGCTTGCGTCCGATTAATCGCATGACCTATTTCTTCTCTTCGTCGCGGCAATAATTTGCTCGGTAATATCAATTTCAGAAATCGAGGCCCGTTTCTACGACTCTACGTTACGCGTGATCGCTTCAGCGGAGCGGTTTCGTCTTGAGCGTGACCCGTCTGGATCCCTGGCGAAGCTCGCCCAGCCTCGTAGCCGTGGACCGCGAGAGGGTCAACGCATCGCGTTCCGCGGAAGCGTATCGTTTGAAAGAAACGGCGCGAGCGAGCAAACGAGCGAACAGGTACGAGAGCGCGAGGCAACGGAACGGCCCCGATCTTGGCTGGCTGGCAAGGACGAGGTCGCGAGCGCGGCCTAATCGCGTTCGCGGATGTACTCGTAGCCGGCACGGAGCTCTGCAAAAGGGGGTTGTATGCAGCATAGTGCAGGCGCACCCCCGGGCCGCGCGTTATATAGATAATACACGGACGCGAGAGGCATCGCGCGACGGGGAACGGAGCGAGGAGCAAGACGAGCGGAGACACGAGGAAAGAAAGAGAAGAAAGAGCGCGGAAAATACATACAGGGAGTGCGAGAGAGTCGACAGAGGGACCGAGAGGAAAATAGAAAAGAGTGGGTGGTTACTGGTGCCGGGTCGTGAAACGGGCCGCACAGCGGGACTGGGAGGGTTGCGAGGATTCGCTTCCGTGTCCCAGTAGCACTAATGACCGCCATCCTCCCCTCCTTCCGTTCACTGCTCCCCACCATCGCGCCCTTGCACTCTGTCCCCACCGCGCGACCCGCTATCCCCACTCTCGGCCAGCGCCACCGTCGCTTCTCCGTCGTCTCCCCTCCAGTCGCGACACGTACATCCAGGATGACTCGAGTTACGTCATAGCGCCTAGAGCGTGCGACCTCCCCTCCACGTTTCGCGACTCGCTTCCCGTCTCGCTTCCCGCCGCGCCGCGTCAACTCGTTCGCTCTCCCTCCCCCTCGAATGGATCTCGGAAGCCGAATTATATCTTAATAATCATTTCCCTCTGAATAATATTTAATGGGACACAGTTTGAGCTTTCCTAGTCTTAATTAGCCCTAGTTTCGAATTAGTAACTTAGCTGTATCTAGGATATTTTATAAGTGGAAGGTACGTAGGATATATATTCATCGGAGATTATTTTCGACGCACCCTGTATGTGACATCGGTTAGAGTGGGCGTCCATTTGTCTTGCAGTTGCCGCATGAAAACAAGCGGCGACTGAGAGTCGCCTCTAGAGCGCAAGGGTTAAATCTTTAATCCGGCTAGCGAAGGGATGAAAGAAAAATCGAAGCGTCTTGCTCGATACCCTATATCCGGCAAGCTATTACCTTACACGAAAAAATCCTTTTACTTACACGCGAGCACGATAGCGGTGCAGCTCGGAGCTTCAAATCCCAGAGGACCGAGCGCGAATCACAGAACGTCTACGGTCTCGTGCTCCTTGAACAACCACCCCTGCGATCTAAATCTCCGCGTAAAACGAGACTCCGGCGCTCCGAGAGAGTACGTGCCGCATTTTCGCCGGGTTCTGGCAAATGTCAAAGTTCAGTACACACCGGTTTAGCTGATCGATATTGCTCGGTGTACATTCGGCTGCCGCTGGAGCGCTTTGATACCCGATTGTCTTTCCGTTGCTGCGAGACGGGCGCATGGACATCGTTTGACCTTCGACAGGGATCTTCCACGGGATTTTCATCGGTCGCGAGGATACCTCGCCACGCCCAAAGCACGCGTAGGCCGAAGCAAGCCGGGCCGAAAGGGTAAAGGGCGCGTGCAGCCTGGAATTCCAGCGACCGCCGCCAGGAAATCAATTACGGGCCTTTAAATCCCACGTCGACCGGCTTCCTATCGATCCCCGCCACCCACGCAAATATCCTCCACCGCCCTGCATCTGCTTATGAAAATCCCGCCACCGAGCTATTATCGAGCCGGAGTATCAACCGACCCGCTGCGACCGTTTTTATCTCGCTTCCGTAAAATGCAGCCGAGGCTACACGGCACATTATAGTAATAGGGGCTGAATCTTGGTTAGGGGAAAATGCAGCTGTTGTTTCGCCGCTTTAAGAAGGGGGATGTTAAGCGTTTAAACGCGGTGCGACCAGTGCTTGCATCCGATTAATCGCATGACCTATTTCTTCTCTTCGTCCCGGTAATAATTTGCTCGGTAATATCAATTTCAGAAATCGAGACCCGTTTCTACGACTCTACGTTACGCGTGATCGCTTCAGCGGAGCGGTTTCGTCTCGAGCGTGACCCGTCTGGATCCCTGGCGAAGCTCGCCCAGCCTCGTAGCCGTGGACCGCGAGAGGGTCAACGCATCGCGTTCCGCGGAAGCGTATCGTTTGAAAGAAACGGCGCGAGCGAGCAAACGAGCGAACAGGTACGAGAGCGCGAGGCAACGGAACGGCCCCGATCTTGGCTGGCTGGCAAGGACGAGGTCGCGAGCGCGGCCTAATCGCGTTCGCGGATGTACTCGTAGCCGGCACGGAGCTCTGCAAAAGGGGGTTGTATGCAGCATAGTGCAGGCGCACCCCCGGGCCGCGCGTTATATAGATAATACACGGACGCGAGAGGCATCGCGCGACGGGGAACGGAGCGAGGAGCAAGACGAGCGGAGACACGAGGAAAGAAAGAGAAGAAAGAGCGCGGAAAATACATACAGGGAGTGCGAGAGAGTCGACAGAGGGACCGAGAGGAAAATAGAAAAGAGTGGGTGGTTACTGGTGCCGGGTCGTGAAACGGGCCGCACAGCGGGACTGGGAGGGTTGCGAGGATTCGCTTCCGTGTCCCAGTAGCACTAATGACCGCCATCCTCCCCTCCTTCCGTTCACTGCTCCCCACCATCGCGCCCTTGCACTCTGTCCCCACCGCGCGACCCGCTATCCCCACTCTCGGCCAGCGCCACCGTCGCTTCTCCGTCGTCTCCCCTCCAGTCGCGACACGTACATCCAGGATGACTCGAGTTACGTCATAGCGCCTAGAGCGTGCGACCTCCCCTCCACGTTTCGCGACTCGCTTCCCGTCTCGCTTCCCGCCGCGCCGCGTCAACTCGTTCGCTCTCCCTCCCCCTCGAATGGATCTCGGTCCCACCATCGCGAGCCGTAGTACTCCCCGACCGTCCCGATCGACCCCTCCACGACCCGCGTTGAGGATCCAGCAGCGCGGCGTATACACACGCTACGAGTACGCTATATATCTTTCCACTATAGCGGCCAGCACTCGGCGAGACCGTGGGGGACCCGGCAGTCTCCGCTGGTACACCGAGCAGTGTGTTACCGTTCCTCGCTTGTTGTATCACGTTCTCGCCGTAATCAGCGTCGACGCGCGTCCGATCTGACAGACCTGTAGTCGCGGCGGCACGTCGTCGTTACACACGCGCGCATCCTACATGTATATATACACGAGCCCATATATATATACGTAGAGGGCAGAGAGGGAGAGATATACACACTGGTGACCCAACAGCGTTCACGCCACCAACCCCTGACACGCACACGAACGCATATACGAAGCCCGTGCACACACCACCCGCCGGCACACGCAACCCTCGCGCGCAAACGGACCATCATCGGCAGATCATCGGGAGATCATCGGGAGATCATCGGGAACAGTAGAGGATCGCACGGAAGGAGGATAAAAGAGGGATAAAGGACGCGGGTGTTGGAGCAGTGCGAGGACGGAATCGCGTAATCGGGCACGCGCGATCGCGACGGAGTGAAAAGGGATACGGGACGGGAGAGATACACGCGGTGCGAGCAGGTGCACGATCCTGCGTTTCGTACCCGGACCTTCGTCATCGAGGAGTAACACGTGCAGGTGTGTATCCGAACGCGCGGCACGTGTGCGGTGCACGCTCGTCGCGCTGCGTACCCGTCTACGTCTACCGATCTCTCTCTGTTTGTGTGCGTGTGTCTGTGTGTGTGCGTGTGCGTGTGCGTGTGTGGCTGCGTGTGCTTGCTTTAGGCGGTCGTAGCGGCGGAAGAAGCCAAAACTGGCGTCGCAGACAGGTAGGCGAGACGAGACCGATCCGAGCGGAAATCGAGAGTCGACGTGTCGCGACGCGAGTGTTCGCCGATGGTCTCGTTGTCAGTGATGCCTCTTCGCTGAGGTTCGAACGGTATCGTCCAAGTACGCGACGAGACAGCCGTGGCGAGTGAGTGTGCCTCTTTAAAGACGCGAGTTGCACGCTTCTCCCGCGAGAACACGCTGAAAGGGGTCGCCGCGTAAGCGCTGGGGGGTGAACTCGCAGTGAAACCGGAAACGGTCGTCCAGACCGTGAGCAATTGTTCCAGGAACACCTAGTGAAACGGTAATTAGAGTGGATAAACATGAAGTATTCGAGGCAATTTGCACATGGCGGACCTGGTGGCCCCGATTCGGGGTAGGACCTCTTTGGTCCATCCAGTTTGGATACATCGGATCAAACCGAGGATCTTTCTTTACGTTTTGGTGACACGTTCTGTGAGCTTCTCCACGCGACTGTCTAACGTAGTGCTTTATTTTCCCATTTCTTGCTCAATTCCATAGATAAACCACACATTTATCGGTCTCCTCTTTGTTCTGTTCGTCGTGCAATACAGCTGTTCTTCGTTCGTGCAACCTTACTCGTGAGATTTCTTCAGTGACATGGAGACGACAATAAGGACGCATCTATCCGGGGTACTCTTAGGTTCAGAGGGAACAAGCTGTCACTCGAAGTGCTTCGGGACTCGTTTGATAGCGATCTCTAGGCAATTAGAATCACGTGATGTTCCAACCCGAATCTTCTCCCGAATTCTATTCGAAATATAGTCGTCGATCACGGAAACACGGGTACGGTATCGTATGACCGAAATGAAAATTTAGAGAGGGTTGATTCTTCATCTCGAGGACTCTTGGTTCGCTATTCTTCGTTTCTTTTCCGTTTCAAAAATTCTTTCCTGTCAGAGCGTGATCTACGTTCTTAACGAAGGTCTGCCCGGACATGGGACCATGGAAATCCGTTGAGAAGGATTATTTACCGACGAAACCATTCAGCTTTCAAGGGGAACAAAGCCAAGGGGAATTTTCCATCCTCGTACGCGTCTCACCCTTTCGCATTAAGCGGCTCGTAAATATTGACTTACGGTCGAGTAGGCGTGAAGATCGGTTCGTCATTTGTGCTCCACGAGTGGCTCCGTTGACAGCTGTAATTTGTATCGTGTGCAGTTTACATTGTTCGCGAGTAAACCGTTCCTCGGTGCCTGCATAACCGTGCGGCTTTAAATCAATGTACACCACGTAACGTTATTGATAAAAGGGGTACGTACATATGTATCACGTTGCACGACAGTTGAGTATATAACCGAATGCATGAGCCAGTATTTCCTCCTTTTTCGACCGGTATCTGCACCTCGAGCTTCGAGAATCGTGCAACACGCCGCGACCGAATTTTCCATCTTTCTCGACATTTCCGCGAAATTTATGAAATTTATATTTATTCGTTCGCTCGGGGTTCGGTAAAGAGTTTAAATTTGGAGATAAATATTGGCTCACGCGTGGGTTTTCGCGTTCGAAAATGTTTATCTTCCAATTTTTTCCTTTTTCTTCTTATAAGGCGAAACGAGTGGCAGGTTTTTGCAAATTTGGAACGATTTTCTCGCGATAATTCTCGCAGCAGTGTCGGGGGACTTACAGGATTAAATATATGGCGTCGAGATTGGTTAGTTGCGTGACTTCTATTTATGCACTGAGAATTTAATTTAATTCAGGGTTGTAAATATTATGCAACCCTGTGCAAATTGTATAACAGTTTTGATCGATAAGAATATCGGAAACACGGTGTTCTACTCGGTTTCTCCCTGTTTTCTTCCATCCAGTGCATACATTATAACGAATTACGACTTTTTTCACTTTTTTCCCGTTTTCATTCTCGAATATTTAACACGCTCTACACGCGTTTACATGTGACGACTATGCGAGCCAACTATCGTGACCATTTCACGTGATCGATAGTTGTAAATATTTTTCGCGAAACAGGACGTAGTGGGAAGTCGAATCGATGTGGAAACTCCCGCGCCGGATTAAGCGGTGCATACTCCATTCACGTTTTCATTTCAATTTAATTTCAATTTCTGCCTTCCGAAAAACAAACGATTACAGGAGCTCCACTTAATAGATCCATTCCCGAAACTAGCAAGCTGCGGGATAACTCACGAATTTTCCAACAGGGTCACAAATGAACCCACAGCAGTACGCACCGCGGAGCAGTGTAATCATCCATCACGCGATTCAAACTCGACACGTTGGCTTTCAACGCTAATCGTGACATCGTCGATCTCACCCCTTGCACGCCCGTTTACGTACGAGTTTTATTTGATCGTCTGCGATTTTGATGGAAACTGCAAGGTTGCGAGACAGATAAATCTACGGGCAGATGCATGCAAACAGTACGTAAATAAATAGCTCGCTGTGAGACGAGAAATTGTTTAAACAACGGTCAAACTTTCACTCTCGCTACCTTTCGACTGTCACTTTCGTCGAGAGACAACTTCGCGTCCGAAATTTGCAAAAATATAGAAATATTTTTCCAGTAATTCGTAAATAAATACCACGCTGTGATGTATAATAAATAATAAATTAACCCCCTTATCGGACGCCAGGCTTTCATACGCGAATCTCACTGGGTTATAGCTGGTTTCAGTAAATATGCGAAAAATTTCCGTCTTGTCACGTGAGAGGTCTCTCACGTGATGTACAATAGTAGTGACAAAGTACTGTTGTCACGTGAGAGGTGAGCAATAAGGGTTAATTGCATGTGGCGCCATAAAAGGTTCATTTGCCTTTAAATTATTATAGGAGTTTCATTCGATGACCACGTGTCTCTCGTGAAACATTATTCCCCAGTTAGGTATCCCCAGGATACGCGACTTCGATCATATTCCCCCATTTCTCGCCTTCCCAGTATCCCCAACACGCAAAACGTGTCACTCGACCCGGTCCCGAGCAGAGTACTCCTGCCGCGGCAACTGCGAGAACGGGTCGTGGTCGCGGGATTTGGCATTCGGCGCGATTCAGCGTGGCAGGTGTTGTAACTGGCCCAGATTCCGGCTCGTTTACCAATAGACCAACTCGCTTAAATATATCGGCCAGCTGCGCGACCGATGTCGCAACATCGGGGACCGCGGAATCCTTGCGAATCGATATCGCGATCGGCCGGATCGATAGCCGAAACAAGCCAGCCAGCCTGCCAGCCAGCCCCCGTTGCGAAACGAAATGGAAAGTCGATCTCCGTTTGCATCTTTCGGCAATAGAATGCAATCTACCGGCGTGGATCTACCGCGCGGGGCCGCCAATTAAGTTTGCAAAACGCCTCGCGTGTATCCCGCGATTCGGCCCCCCGACTTCGCTCAAGAAAGGACCGGAGGAGTCTCCTCGGGTCGGAGTCGATCGCGTTCGCGATCCTTCCGTCGATTATTCATCCGGTGCGATTTATGGCCCAACGATTACGCGAACTCGCGTGCTCGTCTCTGCCCCGATGCTTTTCTTTTCGCGGCCGCGAGCTGTTTAATGAAGCGTGTAAATAAAAAGACAGACACGCCGCGTGAAAGTTCCTGTCACTTGACGATTCTTACCTACGAATGAGTCGGGATGATTCGAATTTCGTCGGAGTAAGAGGTTATGGAGGATCTTAGATGATTTCCCTGAGTTGAGGAATTCGAGATTTTTGAGGTAACTTCCATTTCCTATTTTTATTTTTATTTTTATTTTCCCCGTGGATGGGGAGGTATAAGGCATTGACAGTTGCGTGGTTCCAGTCTGTAGGAGACTAAATAGTGTCAAATTTCCGGCTGAGAAAATTGGGTATTTAGAAATTTGGAGTATGTTTGGTTAATTAGGAAGCTTTGTGCGTACTTATTTTCTCGTTTCGAAGGAAACAAAGGTGTTATAATTTTCACAGAACGATTGACACAGGATGAGTGACAGAATGATAAGATTTTGTAGGACATTCTGGAAGTTCATAAAGCTGCGTCTGTTTTCTCATTGGTCGATCGCAATACCGTGAAGACGACTGTTAATTTATTTTGCTAGCGATCACAGAGTGTCCCTAATTACGAGCATTACTGATAAACCGAGGGCGGGAAATTTAAATTCCCCAACACTAGGGGTTAATTCCACTTTGAGTCCACTTTCAGTTCGCCAATTCGACTGATTTATAGCTTCTATTTTCTTCGTCTTCATCGATGAAGATAAAGCTATAATAAGTAATAAATTACGAATCATCGATGCTTCTACATAATGGCACCACGTTGTATATCGACATTAATTCCCCGCGCAATTAATAATTACAGGAATATCCGCGTTTCTCGAGCCTCGCCCCGTATACTTACAGCAAAGGTGCAATTTGCGAGAATCTCGAGTCACGTTATAAACGTTCGAGTCAAACCCAGCGACGTAATCGTTCGATCAATCTACCAATGATATACACTTCGGTGCAGCAGAATTTCCAATGATTTTTCCAACGACAGATTTTTCCGCAGCAACGAAGAAATGGCGGACGGCGAATTCTTCTCGAGGCATTAGTAGCCATGGCAACGATTTAACTTCCGTAATTTTCTGTTTATTACTCGCTGAGTTATTACGTTATCAAGGCGGGGATATGGCGCGTTATTTAACACGTCCACGTGCAGCATTTAAATAGGGGATTTAAATGCTTGGCTCGTTTCGGGTGCTCGGCCGTTTCAGGCACTCCGATCACGGTGGCGAGTTGTAAAGGATAATTTGAAATGCGATTAAATTCGAGGGAAAATATCGGTTTATTTGCGACGCACGCGCGTAATTTACGCCGCGTGTAATGA